CCTTATATGGTTTCTCTATTACAGCATGTCAGACTATTAAACTTCTCAGTCTCTGATTTGATTGTTGTAAATAATGGAAATATAATATTTTTATTCTTATATTTATGTGAAGCATTCAACCCGTGTATGTCGCTCATCACTAGTAATGGTGACAGTTGGTGAGACAGATGTGCTACTCCAGCAGCAAGCTAGGCTAATGGAAGAATATTTAAACATGACATTCCATCCATAAAGATCACTTTAATCCTGTGGCAGTTTGTACCCAGAAAAAAGAACCTCTTCTCTGTGATGGATGCCACTCACCATAGAATGCTTGCCTGACTCAGAGCTGAGCATCTGTTTCACCATAAATGGTGGAAATATTTCCCTCTTTTGTTTAAATCTGCTGACATTTGAAGCCACTAACACAATGACTTAATAATATGCAATGTGGAATGAGAAGAATTGACATCAAAATAGTTTTACTTGCTTTGTAATTATAAAAGGCTCTTGATCGAAGGGATTGGAACTGTTCTCCCTTTCCTTGATTCGAACCTGACTGTTTCTCATTCCCTAAGCACTGCACAACTCCTACAATAATTATTTGTTATGGTATTGTGGTTTCTGTAATATGACCATGAGGTGGTCACAACAGGAGCCAGTGTAAATTTAATATTCTTTGAAATAGTGTATATTTAAAGTGCTTGAATAACTGAATGGTTCTAGTACTTCATAAATAAAACAAATCCTGATTCAAATCCTCTGATAGAATAGGATCCACAGCCCTTTAATGATCACGTGATCCTCACAGGAGAGTTGTATGCTATGAAGTACGTCCTCACTTAATTTTATTTCATGCAATGTCGTTTAGTTCAATTTCATTTCATTATAACATTGATGAGAACAAAATTGATTCCCTGCTGAAGCCACTGTCTGTGTGGAGTTTGCATATTCATTTTTGAACTGTGTGGTGGTAGTAGGTGCTTCTTACAATTTTTAATTTGCAAGCATTTATTCCTTCATCGAAACCTGTTGCAATGAATGCCAAAGGTGCATTGTGCATCCCTGATGTTTATATCAATTAGCCTGTGGTAAAATTGTTTTTGTTATACATACATCATTTCACTGAAAATCGTATTTTCCAAGAACCCATCAATGATGTACAGTGAGGACTTATTGTACTTGGTCCTGTTGTCTGTACAGCCTCTCCTCACTTAACAACGGAGTTACGTTCCTAAGACCACATCAGTAAACGAATTCATCACCAAGTGAGGAGCATACAGTAATGATAGTGGGTTTGTGTCAACTATCTTTGATATTATTTTAATATCACCTTTGCATCATTTATAACTTTTCTGGTATATTTTTAAATGTTTATGCAGTAGTGTACTGTATATTATAATAAACATAATAAAGGAAATCAGCTCTATTATACATTATTTAGGTACGCATACTGGTCAGAGAGCCCGTTGTAAGTCTGAGTCTTCGGTAAACAAGTACATCACTGAGGAGAGGCTGTATTGTTCCCTTGACTCCCTCATCCTGTGCTATAGTCTCTCAGTCTCAAATTACACTTCAAACAACTGAAATCTTTGGTTCCTAGAATCCCATGGATGTTCATACTTACAATTGGCTGTCCCTTCAAGGGAGGTTCCTTGGTGCCAGTGATGGGCTCTCAATCCAAGGAACTGGATCTGTGCTCCCCTTGGACTGAACCCGAATGCCGCTCATTCCTCCAGGCATTGTGTAATCCATACAGGTTATACAACGCCAACAGCACATCCATTTAAAACTACTCATCTCCAACGCGAACCTGCTGGATACTCCCCTAATACTCAGATTATTAAGTTGTATAATTATTATTACAGTACAGTGGAACCTCATTTTTTGTCTGCTGCATTTATCGGCCAATTTGTACTTAGGCCAGTTTTTCAGTGGAAATTTTGCTCCATATTTCACCCTTTGCCTTGTATATTGGCCGTATTAGATGCGTCAGCCCAGGACGCCGAGAGTAGGCGAGTCAGTTTCCCTTTGACTGTCAGTGAGTGAGCATATACTCTGCGCATTCATCCAAACATTTCCTTAAAATCCATTGTTTTTGGTGATTTTTTATTAAGTGTGACTGTGAAATAAGTCACCATGGGTTGTATGGCAAAAACAAATCAACAATCACTTCTATCCTGACAAGGAAAGAACATATCAAAGAAGCTGATGTGGCTTGTTTATTAAGTGCGACACTGAAATAAGCCACTATGGGCAGGGAGTGTAGCAGGCAGGCAGGGAGTGTAGCAGGCAGACAGGGAGTGTAGTAGGCAGGCAGGGAGTGTAGCATGGAGGCAAGGAGTGTAGCATGGAGGCAGGGAGTATAGCAGGCAGGCAGGGAGTGTTGCAGGCAGACAGGGAGTGTAGTAGGCATGCAGGTAGTGTAGCAGGCAGGGAAGGAAGTAACCCCAGAGAGGGCTTTGATACCTGAAGTCCTTATGGAGGGGGATTCCCCTTCCAAACAGTAATCAGTCCTCCCTCTCTCCATAAGCCAACAAGAGTCTTCAATAAAGGTATGTAATAGTGATTTAAATCTTTATTTATTTATTTTATTAAGCTCTCATTGTTTTGTGTATGTAAAACTATAATTAATCTTTAAAAAAATGTATTTTTTATGAATATTTTTGGGTGTCTGGAATGGATTAATTGTGTTTACGTTAATTCTTATGGAAAATATTGCTTCGAATTTAGGCCAACCTTCTAGAACGGATTACAGCCGAAAAACGAGGTTCCACTGTATTATTCTCGTGGAAAAGCACCTAAAACCGAAAGAGTCATACGGTGGCATATGGCAAAGGTAAAAAAAGATGCCAGAGGAAGCAGCAAAGGTGCTGAGGAGAGGGTGGTGGTAGAAAGAGGGAATTCACAGGTGATGTGTAATTATTACATTAAAAAACCACTAAATCCGTTTGGGTCACGGGTGCCACAAACTGTTATTGTTATTGCAGTCAAAACTAAGTGCTAAACCCATGAGGGTCATGCAGCAACAAGCAGTGTAGCAGTGCAGAGGCAGAGTCAGCACCAAAAGCTGGACTGTCAGAGACAACTTGTTTTATGAGTAGCAGTAGTAGTAGTAACAAATATTGTAGTGATGAATGGAGAATTATTATCAGTAAAGCTTCATTTTAACCCGTAAACTGTCCAAACGTAGATCTATGTTCATGTGCGTAGCATTCTGACCTTTATTTTCTCCATTTGAAAGCATGTAAAAAAAAACATAGATCTACGTTTGGAGCACTACGCAATTGAACATAGATCTACATTTGGACAGTTTAAGGGTTAATATCAATGGATCTAACAGTTCTTAGATGTAATGGACCAAATCTGTGGCAAAACAACATTCTTTCATTAAATCCAGAATTGCGTGAGAAGTGCTAACCCCCACAAATGGTCAGAAACATTCAGATTAGATCTAATTCCTTGCATTAAGAGCCCTTCACTGGTATCAAGACAGCCACCCATGAAGAGAATGAATGGGGAAATATATATATTTTGGCCCAAAGACAAGGGGTGCATTAGGGCAGGTATTCAGGCTCAATAAGTTCCAATTCCTCAGACCAAGAGCTTTTCACCTCAACTAGGAACTCCATTGAAAGGTAATATGTCAGAGAATGTATGTTGAAGAATACTTTTAAAGAGGAAGGCAAGCACAGTAAACATGCTTATTATTATTATTATTATTATTATTATTATTATTATTACAGAGCCTGCACTCTGAAAGAGGGATAGAGATATGTTACACTTTTTGAACTGTAGTACTGGCATGCCTCTGGCAAGACAGTGATGAAATGAGTGAAGGTGAAAGTGTTTTTCTTTTTCAGGTCACCCTGCCTTGGTGTGAAAAGGCCAAGGTGTTAAAAAAATTACTATATTCACAGAAATCTCTACATTACATTATTCACAGTGTTACATTATATTCACATTGCTACATTATGGCCACAAACAGCACTTCATTATATTTACTAAAAGCACTATATTATATTCACAAAAAATGCTATATTACCAGGCATATTCATGAAAAGCAGTAATTTATATTTACAAAGCAGTTAAGTATTTATTATATTATCATCATCGTTATTATGACTATATTCATCAGAAGGTACTAAACCCTCAAGGGTTCTACAGCACCACAGAGCAGCGGTAACAGAGACAGTTAAGGCTAGAAACCCAGAACTCAATAAAGATTATCAATTAACCATAGAATATTCTTAAGGTAACTTGTTTTACAAGTCAACATCACTGACCATTCTTCCTATTGAGACACAGTGGTAGCACCAAAGAGGTGCTGAAGCCTCTCTAGAGTTCCATCAGCTCCCCCAAATAAAAATAATATTCATAATGCTGCTTCAAAATATAATAATAATTCTTGAAGACAGGTCCCCTAACACTGTCTTTCAAGCAGATTGCCATCCCTAACTCCTCCTATATGAACTTCTGGGGCTGTCCCTGTTGTGACAGTTCTAGAAAGAATTAGGGTAGAAATGTGATCTTCGAAGACAGCAGCAATGTATGCAGCAGGATGGTGCAAGACCCCATGCAAAAGTAATGGACAATCCCAGTGACTGTGAAAAAAAATCCCTAACAAAAATGGATTTCAAGACCAAAATATTACTCTTACACTTGCCTAATCAGTGGTCATCAGAATGTGATATGTTGATCAACAAACTACTATAGGAAAATTTTCAAATGAAAAAACTAAAAAGAAATTTGTAGATTTTCTCTAGATGTATGACATAACATTGTATAAATGTTTTCATATTCACAGGAAAGCACACAACCACAACTCTGCAGTCTGTACAACAAGGTCATGTTTATTATTATATTCATAGGGAGTGTTAAACCTAAATGGGTCATTGGCACCTCAGTGGGAGATGGCCATTGTGTTATAAACTAACAACAATAATGATCTGTAATAATAAAAAGTAATGGATAATACATAATAAGAAAATGTTGTAAAATGTAGTGATAAATAAAACGACTTGTAAATAAAACATTTTTACTTTATTACTTTCTGAAGAATACACATGACTATTAAAATATTTTTATAAAGTTAATAGTAACTTTTAATATTTGGTGATTTCTGACAGACATTACATCATGATATTTAGCTATTAGTATAAATAGCTAACACAGATTACAGCTTTTAACTATTACATGACATGAAATTCTACTAAAATCATCATATAATAGATTGTCAAAGCATTTAATTTGATATAATGTAATAATAAATTTTCAAAGTCATCTCCAATATTTTCAACAACAAAAAAATCTTATTGTACTGTATACAGATCGGTATTAATTACAGATGACTTTTCGAGATACAGTATTAATCATGTGCTAACTACTCGAAACTTTGCTTCAAGTTATTAAACAACAGTTGTACCAAGTTTCAATGTACTGTACATCATATTCTACGAAGGGGTGAAAATAACACTATTTCCTTGTACAGAGATGACGATAGCTATTTTGCTGAGAAATTTAAGTTTAATTATAATAAAAATCGAAGAAGGTGCAGTAAACTCTCAATAAAACGGACTAATACGAGGGACTTTCCAAGTGTTTGCTAAATCAGAATAATGTTAAAAAATATCAGAAAACTCCTTAAAGTATTCTACTGTATACTTAATACAATAGTACACACACACTTTACAGTTATATTGCCATAAACATTGAAAAGCAAGGAGTTAAAAATGCTATTTATTCAATGGATTTCGTCCACTATTTCACAAGTCCGTTAAATCAAGACCGAATAGAGCGAGGGTTTACTTGCATACTATACAAGGGAAAATCATGTCACCCTCTCTCTAAGACTCAGATCATAAGCATGCTTTGCATTACATAAAGTAGTGATTACAGTACTTTAATAATAATAATAATATTTTATAATTTATTATAACTTTTTGTAAAAATATAGTTCAATACTGATTAATATTATGTATATATATATATACCATATATTACAAAAACAGTACTAACAAGATGAAAATGTACTTCAACAATAAATAAATGCTCAGATCATTCAGCAAAATCTCTTAGATGATCGACTGTATTCCATATTACTCACAAGGATGAAGTGGAATAACCAACTTGGCTCCAAATGGGGACACATACTTTATGCCTACAGCTCGAAATGTTTGTTGGGGTATGGGCAAGTTCATAAGGTACACTTTCCCACGAGCAGGAGTGTATGCTAATGGAAGAGCAGGACATAGAAGAACACGCGCAGGTAATGGCGGCTGAGTCGATGGTATTGCTGCCAGGTCACTAGGTGGGTCTAGGGCAAAAATAGGTGCACGACATGATGATGCCCAAGCAGAAGTCAAGTTTAACCAGGCTTGACCAGATCCACCCTCACCCGCCCGTCCACTGTGATCCAGTCGAGCATCAACTATCAGATCAAGAGTGGGCACAATGCCTCGGGGATCAGATGTTGTACGGCCATTGGTGAGGTTATAGAGCTGCAGCTCATGAGTAAGTAGTAGAGGAGGTGGAGGTGAAACAGACATCTGATTGGTGACTACAACAGTCTGCACTCCATGACTTTCTAAGTGTCGGGCAGTATTAACACCAGCTGCACCTTGTAAATGGCAACCACAAAGCAATACTACAATTGGAGGCTGCTGGCTATTACCTGTCCCCAACCTGTAAAAAAAAAAAAAAATGATCAATAGGTTTATATCTAGCTAATCTTATCTAAACATCATTCTCCAAGGCAGGGTGACCAAAAAAAGAAAAACGTAAGTCGTCTTCTTAAATTTAGTAATGAATACAAGAGAAGGGGTTACTAGCCCCTTGCTATCAGCATTTCAGCCACCTCTTATGACACGCATTGCTTACAAAGGAAGAATTCTGTTCCAGTTCCCCACGGAAATAAGAGGAAATAAAGAAATACAAGTTAGGGTGAGATATAAGCAACTATTGGCAGAAAAATGGACTAGTGCAAGTATGAGTAGTGGGGGGATTGAAGAGGGTTGGAATAGTTTAAAAAATGCAGTATTAGTATGTGGGGAAAAAGTTTATGGCTATAAGAGGGTGGGTGCAGGAGGAAAGAGGAGTGATTAATGGAATGATGAAGTAAAGGGTGTGATAAGAGAGAAAAATGTAGCTTATGAGAGGTTTTTACAAAGCAGAAGTATATGGAGAGTAAAAGAAAGGTGAAGAGAGTGGTGAGAGAGTGCAAAAGGAGAGCAGATGATAGAGTGGGAGAGGCACTGTCAAGAAATTTTGATGAAAATAAGAAAAAATTTTGGAGTGAGATAAACAAGTTAAGAAAGCCTAGGGAACGAATGGATTTGTCAGTTAAAAACAGAGTAGGGGAGTTAGTAGATGGGGAGCTGGAGGTATTGGGTAGATGGAGGGAATATTTTGAGGAACCTTTAAATGTCGATGAAGAAAAGGAGGCGGTAATTTCATGCACTGGTCAGGAAAGTATAACCAGGGCCGGATTAAGAAGTCTCCGGGCCCTAGGCTATTCAGATTGGCGGGGCCCCTTTGAGTTACGGGTAAGTGAAGCGACCCCTTCCAGCTTGGGGGGGGGGGTCGGTGTGAGCCTGTTTAAGGTCTAATTAAATACATTCTGGCTATTTAGATTAAATTTAATAGGGAAAGTACATCAAGACAACCAAAACCATTTACCAACAGCCATTATAACTATCTTGTTAAATCATGCATTTTAAAGAGAATAAACTCAAGACAGCATAGTATTACTAGATTAGGCTATTAAAGTAGTGACATCATGTACCTATTATATTCAGCATAACCACTACAGCACTATTATTCCCTTTATAAATCACTGACCATTATTATCATTTTTACTAAAATGCATCTTTACTGATCAAGTAGCCCTGTCAGGTACCTCCCTTAACATTTAGAGGCGAAAACAAACATTTATCCATACACATCAATGTCTATCAACAACACCTCAGTTAATTTGTCACAGTACAAGTCTAGATAACGTGTAATTACTACAGAAAATTGGAGAGGAATCTCCCATACTCACCCATTAGCGGGAAAACACAGATGTTCTGATGTAAACAAAGGTGTTTTGAGTGTTGCCATCTATGGTTAGGTTTATTTATTTTTATTTTATTTTATTTCATTATTTATTTTTGTTTTGATTAATTTTTAAAAATCAATTTTACTCTCCAAACACTTGAACTTTTTAGGTAGGGACCCCTTTGCACTTGCACCATGTGCGCAGTCTTGGATGAGCCCCTGAACCCCTTGGACCGCGGGGCCCCCAAATGTGCGGGGCCCTAGGCAAATGCCTAGTTTGCCAATGCAGTAATCCGGCCCTGGGTATAACATCTTTTAGGAGTGAAGAAGAGCAGGACGTGAGTGTGGGGGAGGTGCGTGAGGCATTATGTAGAATGAAAGGGGGTAAAGCAGCTGGAACCAACGGGGTCATGACAGAAATATTAAAAGCAGGGGGGATATAGTGTTGGAGTGGTTGGTATTTTTGTTTAATAAATGTATGAAAGAGGGGACGGTACCTAGGGATTGGCAAAGAGCTTGTATAGTTCCTTTATATAAAGGGAAGGGGGACAAAAGTGACTGTAAAAATTATAGAGGAATAAGTTTAGGGAGTATACCAGGAAAAGTGTTTAGTAGGGTTATTACTGAAAGAATTTGAGGTAAGACAAAGTAGGATTTCGGATGAGCAAGGAGGCTTTAGAGTGGGTAGGGGATGTGTAGATCAAGTGTTTACATTGAAGCATATATGTGTACAAATTTTAGATAAAGATAGGGAAGTTTTCATTGCATTTATGGATTTAGAAAAGGCATATGATAGAGTGGATAGGGGAGCAATGTGGCAGATGTTGCAAGTAGTATATGGAATAGGTGGCAAGTTACTAAATGCTGTAAAGAGTTTTTATGAGGATAATGAGACTCAGGTTAGGGTGTGTAGAAGAGAGGGAGACTACTTCCCAGTAAAAGTAGGTCTTAGACAGGGATGTGTAATGTCACCATGGTTGTTTAATATATTTATAGATGGGAATGGGAAGTACAATGCCTGCACTTTAAAGGAGGGGTTTGGGATATTGGCAGTTTGGAGGGATATGTTGTGTATCTTTGTACATATATGCTTCTAAACTGTTGTATTCTGAGCACTTCTGCAAATACAGTGATTATGTGTGAGTGAGGTGAAAGTGTTGAATGATGATGAAAGTATTTTCTTTTTGGGGATTTTCTTTCTTTTTGGGTCACCCTGCCACAGTGGGAGATGGCTGACTTGTTAAAAAAAAAAAAAAAAAAATCATGAAAGAAGTGCTAAACCTATAGGGGACATACAACTTTAGGAATATAAGGTAATCAGGTTCAGTGCAAGGAAAGGGAGGTCGGATTCAATTTTTTGGACTGACATGTAATAAATGGTGGTAAATGTGTTTCCTTCTTTGGGTCACCTTGCCTTCTAAATAACTATGGAAATTTTTTAATATTTTTCTGCAAGGTCCAAAATACCCGCCTTACGATATTAATCCGTTCCTGACAGCTCATCGTAAGCCGAAATTATTGTCAGCTGAATTAATTTTCCCCACGAGAAATAATGGAAATCAAATTAATCCGTTCCTGACACCCCAAAGTATGAAAAAAAAAATTTTTACCACATGAAATATTAATTTTAATACACACAAACTGAAGAAGACATGCACAATTACTACTCTACTAAGAATAGAATACATGACACTCACCTTTACTGAAGACCTGGTGATGATTGATGGGATGGGAGGAGGGGAGAGTGTGGAAGCTATTGTTTAGAAAGGGAATCCCCTTCTATTAGGACTTGAGGTAGCAAGCCCTTTTCCGGGGTTACTTCCCTTCTTTTAATGCCACTAGGACCAGCTTGAGAGTCACTGGACCTCTGTCACACAACAAATCTGTCCATAGAGCTCTGTACCTCCTGTTCCTTTAAAACTTTCCTAAAATGGGCTATAACACTGTCATTGTACAGGTTGCCAACACGGCTTGCAGTAGCTGTGTCAGTGATTTTCATCCGTAAAGTCTGCAGTTCAACTCACTTTGCACACATTTCCTTAATCTTTGAAGTAGGCAACTTCCTCAATTTCTCTCTCCTCTCCTCTGAAACAGTTTCCTCAGGTCTGGCCTCTTGCTGTTGAAGATGATCTTGCAGCTCATCAGTGGTTAGTTCTTCATTGTCCTCCTCCACCAACTCTTCCACATCCTCCCCACTAACCTCCAACCCCAAGGACTTCCCTAATACCACAATGGATTCCACAACTAGCATACGCTTCTCAGGGTTAGCCCCCAAACCCTTCAAAATCCCTTTCTTCTACACATTGTGGCCACAGTTTCTTCCAAGCAGAGTTCAAGGTCCTCTTAGTCACTCCTTCCCAAGCCTTACCTATAAGGTTTACACAACTGAGGATACTAAAGTGATCTTTCCAAAACTCTCTTAGAGTCAATCGAATGTCTGAGGTCACTTCAAAGCACTTTTAAAACATAGCTTTTGTGTAGAGTTTTTTGAAATTTGAAATGACCTGATGGTCCATGGGCTGCAGGAGAGGAGTGGTATTAGGAGGCAAAAACTTGACCTTAATGAAGCTCATGTCCCGAGAAAGTCGCTCTGCCAAGTCTGCAGGATGACCAGGAGCACTGTCTAATACCAGGAGGCACTTAACCCTTTGAGGGTCGACAGGCCCTCTCAGAAACTCGTTCTCAGGGTCTGCCAAATTTAAAAAAAAAAAAAAAAAAAAAAAAAATTCTTATGAAAAGATAGAGAATCTTTTCCCGATCATAATGACACCAAAATTATGAGATTTGATGGAAAACTTACGGAATTATGCTCTCGCGAAGTTAGCGGTCTCGGCGATGTTTACGCATCGGCGATTTTGCCCACTTTGAGCCCCATTTTCGACCAATTCCACTGTACTAGTCGACAAAAAACATGAATATTTCGCTAGAACTACATTTTTTCTATTGAATAAGTGCAAGAAACCACCCATTTACCATTTTCAACTGTCCAATACAGTGGTCAGAATTTAGCAATTTTGCCAATTTCACACAAATTTCAAAAAATGCCAATTTCTGAATAGGGTCCAGAACAAACAAGAAATACATTCCTGGCACTAAAATGACATTTCCTCTGTTCATTAGTCACGTCTCAAGGCCCCTCTTACATTCTTTTGCTTTCCACTTTGAATTTTTATTCTCACAAAAAATAGAAGATTTACTGTTATGCAGACTACTGCATTAGTGTAAAAAATGATATAAATCATATTGGCGCACTTGCAAAAGAATATTAGACTCACCAGTTGATGTGTATTGGACGCTTGGCATGATTTGTTTACTTTTGAACTTTGGTAAAAATCGAACATTTCTGCTACTTGGAGCTCAATTTCAAGGTACTTTTCATTGTAAAACCAGTCAAAATCATCTCAATTTCTGTGATATGCCTTCCCTTCTATAAAATGAGACCAAGAAAACTAGAATACAACAATAAATACCATACGAAAATACAGTGCAAAGTCACTGTTTTATTCCAAAAAAACGGTCAAAGTTTTTTTTTTTTCTCATTATGCACTGTGTGCTGCAGGATTTTTTTTATACCATGCACACTGACCACATAGACCCATTCTTTCATATGGAGGCCTACCAGCCTTTTCCCGCGAGATTTGACGGCGCTAGAATTTATGCGTGCTAGTACGTCAAAAATCCCTGCGCGTAAGACGTACTAGTACGTCCGAAACCCTCAAAGGGTTAAGGTCCAGTTTCTTTTCCATTAGGTAATTTTTCACAGTGGGGGCAAATGCATGGTGTAACCAATCATAGAAAAAGTCCCTAGTGATCCATGCCTTACTGTTTGCCCTCCACAGCACACACAAATTAGCCTTGAGGACATTGTTTTGCCTGAACGCTCTGGGAGTTTCAGAGTGATACACCAATAAAGGCTTCACTTTGCAATCACCACTAGCATTAGCACACATCAAAAGAGTAAGCCGTCTTTCATAGGCTTATGTCCTGGGAGTGCCTTTTCTTCCTGAGTAATGTAGGTCCTGCTTGGCATTTTCTTCCAAAACAGGCCTGTTTCGTCGCAATTAAACACTTGTTCAGGTTTCAGTTCTTCACTGTCTATGTACTCCTTGAATTCCTTCACATATTTTTCAGCCGCTTATTGGTCCGAACTGGCAGCTTCACCATGCCTTATCACCATGCCTTAAATTCACTCACATCACCACTAGCTGCAGGCATTTTTCTAGTTAAATCGTCATGCAACTTCCTAGCCTTTTCCCATATGATCGCTTGAGAGATGCCATCTCCTGCTATCTGTTTTTCGTTTATCCACGCCAATAACAGTCTCTCAACATCTTCTATCACTTGTGATCTCTGTTTCAAAAGCAAACTTGCACCTTTTGCAAGAACAGCTTCCTTGATTGCTGTTTTGTTGGCCAAGATAGTAGCAATGGTTGATTGGGGTTTGGTATACAACCTGGCCAGCTCCAAGACACACACTCCACTTTCGTACTTAGCAATTATCTCTTTCTTCATTTCCATAGTAATTTTCACTCTTTTTACCACAGGGTTGGCACTAGAAGCTTTCTTGGGGCCCATGGTGACTTATTTTGCAGTTACAAGCACTAAAAACACTGTGATAATATGAAATGTACCGAATGTATGCTTAGATGCGACAGCACTGGCTGGCTTGTAAACACTGGCACCCACGGGGCAGCTGAGGCCACACATGGGACGTGTCCTGGACGAATCACGTAAGGCGAGTTTTTTATCGTGAGGCGAGGCAAAATTTTTTGCGTTCAAATGCTTCATATAGCAGATTTAACGTAACGCAATGAGTTCGTAAGGCGGGGGTCCACTGTATACTGAAACTTAATGAAAAGGCATGCTGCATTTAATGCTATTTTGGTGCACGAAAGAATTTTTTTTAACACACCGGCTGTCTCCCACCAAGGCAGGGTGACCCAAACAAGAAGGAAAACACTCATGGTGACTCACACATCACAGTCTTGCTAAATGTGTGCCAACATTACCACGTAATCGAAGACTGTCTACAACATAATGTTAAGAAAAGGGTACAATAAGGGCAAAGGATGTGAGACAGTAGTGTACAAGAAATAAACAGCAGGGTAGAAAAAAAAGAGCAATTAAGTTAATTATCTGAACATATGCAGAGAAAGGATAACAAAAAGTTGATGGTCATGAGTGGATATGAATCAAGAAAATGTAAAAACTGAAGAAGGGAAACCAAAAACAAGGAAGAAAAGGAAAAAGAACATAGAAGGTAAAGGGTTAGTATAGATCATTATTATATACAAAGAATGAGACACTTACCTAAAGGATCCAAAAAGAATAAAAGTCACAATTTCATGGAGCAATGGGTAGAGTCACTCACAAATTTCTGTTAATGCACGGCATATAGATATTCGTGAGAATGCACATGCTGATTGTATATGTTACTGTACAAAATGAAATGGTGTGGACATAAGAAAAATTAATACAGGACATAAAATTAAAGGCCAGTGTTACCTGTGGCTACCACCACTAAGAGAAAGTATGATCTCAGTAGCAGCTCGTCCAATCATCTCCAGCTGGCGAGAGTTTGTGAGGCCATGTTGATTTGCTGTGGATAGGAGGGCAGCACGGAGCTCACTGGTTACAGAAGGTACAAGTAGTCCACTATCTGGAAATCAGAGTATTTTCTACATTAATTACACACACAAACATATATAAATTGGTTATAGTAAACTGATAAAATATAGAATGTTTCACAAATAGCTCAGTATTTCTGTCTGAGGTAATAGTCATATCCAATCTTTTTTTTTTTTTTTTGTAAGGTGTGAGCAACATTACAACATAACAATAATATACAAAATTAATTACTAACCATTAGCATATATAACCTCAGCAGCACCTGATGTGGGAACAATGATTTGCCTTTTTACTGGTGGTTTCGAGGGCAAAACGTTCTCGTCACACCTATAATTTTTCTCAGCATAGCGGTCAGCCTGGCGTATAACATCTGGTTTCAAACTCTGAATTTCCTCCATTACAGCCTGTGTAAGTACAGTAATATAATATTGTAAATCATTATATTTCAGAAAAAGAGCAATGTGATAAAAAATAATTGTAGGACTAGGAAAAAAAAAAGATATGGAGACAAAAATTAAAAGTGTAGAGAAAGTGAATATAGCATACTGTGGTAAATTACATGTGCATTTACTCTGGGGTCTATACAAGATGAAGTAAAAGACAAATGAAGAAGGCAGAATGAATAAAAAATCACAGTACTCTAGCTAGAACAATTCACAAGCAACCCATATAAAGGAGAGGAAACTTATGATAGCATTTCGCTCCATTCTGGACAACTGTCAAGTTACAACTGTGACTCGTGACTTAACAATGGTCCAGGATGGACTGTACCCTTGTCGTACATTTCCTAAGTACAAATTATTTTTGAAGTAGTGAAGGGAAAAAGTTGCAGGAAGTTTAAGTCTCTGAGGAAAGAAGTTTGTCACTAAATGTCAAAATGGAAATGCTTCATTCTAAAGTGTGTGAGTGTGGTGAAAGTGTTGAATGATGATGAAAGTATTTTCTTTTTGGGGATTTTCTTTCTTTTTTGGGTCACCCTGCCTCGGTGGGAGATGGCCAACTTGTTGAAAAAAAAAAAAAAAAAATGTATGTGTAGTGTGACCTAAGTGTAAGAAGTAGTAGCAAGATGTACCTGAAATCTTGCAGGTTTATAAAACAAACAAAAGACACCAGCAATCCTACCATCATGTAAAACAATTACAGGCTTTCGTTTTACACTCACTTGGCAGGACGGTAGTACCTCCCTGGGCGGTTGCTGTCTACCAACCTACTACCTACATACTTTCATATCTACACAGTTAATAAAAAATTCACATTTTATAACAAAATCACTATCTAATACTGTTGTTAAGGATAATTTGTGACAGGTATAAAAACTTTCTATGGTCTATATTCTACTGTAATTCAAAAATTAATGAAAAAGCTCATATGAACATTTTCATTTTTTATGGAAGGATGATGCTTATTGAGAAATGACTATGATATCACATGGTAAAATTGTAATCTCTATTAAGTCTTAAATTTTTCAGGCATGTATACTACAGCTCTTTTACAGCAACCATGGTTTCAACACCTTTCTAGCATACATATATATATTTTCTCCATGGGGAAGTGGAGCAGAATTCTTCCTCCGTAAGCGGCGACTAAAATTCTGGGAGCAAGGGCCTAGTAACCCCTTCTTCTGTATATATTACTAAATTTAAAAGGAGAAACTTTCGTTTTTCCTTTTGGGCCACCCCGCCTCGGTGGGATACGGCTGGTACGTTGAAAGAAAGTATATGCATTTCATTAACAAGCCAGCTGTCTCCCACCAAGGTAGGTATTACAAGTGACTTGAGTATTCAAATACACCAAGGAGTAGGATAGGGGTATAAACTAGACCTTGAGGCCTTTTAATGCAAGGATAACAAAATAAAAGCATTTCTTGCAAGTAAGTTCTAAAGAATAGTGACAAACATATGGTTTCTAAACTTTGATACAATAATCTTTACCTGTTTGTCAAAGAGAGCAAGATTCTTTTCAAAATCAAACTCTGTAGTAAGCATATCATCATCAATAGGGGTACCAAAGGTAGTTTCATCCCGAGCCCGCCTCAGTCTTTCTTTTTTCCCAGGGGTTCGTGATGTATCATTGCTGTATCTGTCATTACGCCGAGGAGAGCTGTATTCCTGTACTGTTGATGTGGCTTGGTTCATTCGTTGCCATTCACCAGCAGATTCTCTTTAAAGAAAGAAGGGAAACATTAACAATACAAAAATTTTCATTTTTTCTTTGAACACAATGGCCATCTTCAATCGAGGCAGGGTGACCCCCAAACAGATATACCTTTACCTTTGATATACCTTTGAAGAATTTCAAGAGTATATCTACTCTCTCAGCCCGGCCATGGGTCAGGCTCGTCTGGTGCTCGCCTAGTCAACCAGGCTGTTGCTGCTGGAAGTCCGCTGCCCCACATATCCATCACAGCCTGGTTGATCTGGCATCTGGTGAAGATACCTGTCTAGTTTCCTCTTGAAGACTTCAACACTTGTTCCAGCAGTGTTTATGATATCTTCTGGTAAGATGTTGAAAAGTCTGGGACCCCGGATGTTGATACAGTGTTCCCTTATTGTCCCCACCGCACCCCTGCTCCTCACTGGGTTTATTTTTACACTTCCTCCCATATCTCTCATTCCAGTATGTTGTTATGGCAGTGTGCAGATTTGGGACCAAGCCCTCGAGTACCTTCCAGGTATATATTATCATGTACCTCTCTCTCCTCCGCTCCAATGAGTACATGTTCAAGACTTGCAGGCGTTCCCAGTAGTTTAGATGCTTTACTGGCTCAATGTGAGCAGTAAACGATCTCTGTATTTGTTCCAGCTCCGATATTTCTCCTGCCCTGAATGGGGCTGTCAGCACTGAGCAATATTCTAAGTGAGGGAGCACTACCGATTTGAAGAGTGTCACCATCGGCATTGTTTCCCTTGTTTTGAAAGTTCTCAATACCCACCCAGTCATCTTCCTGGCTGTCGTGATCTTGGTCTTGTTATGGTCTTTAAAAGAAAGGTCCGCTGACATAATTATTCCTAGGTCTTTTACATGTTCCTTACATTCTATTTGGTGACCCTCTTGAGTTTTGTATATACAGTAGTGCTCCTTTTGAGTTCTTCATTCGTTCCATACCTAAGCAGCTGGAACTTATCACCAGAGGAAACACAATCACCATCATTCACTTGATCAATGTCTTGCCAGAAGTATGCTGACATCACAGTTTAGATGATCCTCTGAATTGCAACATTCTCAATAATAAGCAAAACCAAACTACATTTGCTGACCAAATAAGATTTCTTCATAAAAAGACTTGCTCTGAAGCAAGTACAATAGATGTACTAAAAACATAAAATTTGATAAAAAAAAAAAAAAGTGGATCAAGATTCTTACTAAAAGGGTGCTGCAACAAAATATTTTTCCCTCTAAATCAACTGCAAGGATTAAGGTGTATGACATACACATTTGATTCTAAATTGTGAGTCCCTGAAATGGATGGTCCCATTCAGTTTAGTGTGCAATCCTCCCCCAATATAAGAAGGTGGGTTCCTATGTTATGCTGAAGTAAACTAATCCCTTTACTTGTTTACAAAAATTACAAATGAAGGTGTTGAATATATGATTAAACTAATAGCTCCTACACCATAGCTGATACAATACAGATAAAATGGAGGAAGTACAGTGCCTGCACTATGAAGGAAGGGTGTTAATGTTACTGTTTTATAACTGTAGTGTAAGCACACCTCTGGCAAGACAGTGATGGAGTGAATGATAGTGAAAGTTTTTCATTTTTGGGCCACCCTACCATGGTGGGAAACGGCAGATGTGTTAATAAAATAAATAAAAAATGGAGGGTATAAGGTATATAGGATTTTGCTATCCAAGAATATACAATGCATATACAGTAACATCTAGGTTACCTGGAGGTTATTCTGGGGATCAACACCCCCGCAGCCCGGTCCATGACCAGGCCTCCTGATGGATCAGGGCCTGATCAACTAGGCTGTTACTGCTGGCCACACGCAGTCCAACGTACGAGCCACAGCCCGGCTGATCCGGCACTGACTTTAGGTATCTGTCCAGCTCTCTCTTGAAGGCAGCCAGGGGCTTATTGGCAATTCCCCTAATGCTTGATGGGAGGCTGTTGAACAGTCTTGGGCCCCGGATACTTATGGTGTTTTCCCTTAGTGTACCAATGGCGCCCCTACTTTTTATTGGGGGCATTTTGCATCGCCTGCCCAGTCTTTTACTTTCGTAGAGAGTGATTTCTGTGTGCAGATTTGGGACCATTCCTTCCAGGATTTTACAAGTGCAGATTATGATATATCTCTCCCTCCTGCGTTCCAACGAGTACAAGTCAAGTGCTTCCAAGCGTTCCCAATAGTTAAGGTGCTTGACAGAACTTATACGTGCAATAAAGGATCTCTGTACACTCTCTAGATCTGCGATTTCACCTGCTTTGAATGGAGATGTTAATGTACAGCAGTATTCCAGACTAGAGAGAACAAGTGATTTGAAAAGGATCATCATTGGCTTGGCATCTCTCGTTTTGAACGTTCTCATTATCCATCCTATCATTTTCTTTGCATGTGCGATCATGGCACTGTTGTGATCCTTGAAAGTGAGATCCTCAGACATTACTCCCAGGTCCCTTACATTATTTTTCTGCTCTACTGTATGTAGGTAGTAGGTTGGCAGATAGCAACCACCCAGGGAGGTACTACCATCCTACAAAATGAGTGTGAAATGGAAATGAAATGAAATATTTTACATGATGGCAGGATTACTGGTGCTTTTTATTTTTCTTTCTCTCCTAAACATGCAGAATACCAGGTATATCTTGCTACTTCTACTTGCACTTAGGTCACACTACACATTCAGGTACACTCGTATATATACACATTCTCATCTGGGTTTTCTTCTATTTCTTAAAAGTTCTTGTTCTTTATTTCCTCTTATCTTCATGAAAAAGTGGAGAAGAATTCTTCCTCTGTAAGACTTGCATGTCATAAGATGTGACTAAAATGCTGGGAGCAAGGGGCTAGTAACCTCTTCTCATGTATAAATTATTAAATTTACAAAGAAAAACTTTCATTTTACTTTTTAGGTCACCCTGCCTTGGGGGGATATGGCCACTGTGTTAAAAAACTATATACGTTTCGAGTATCATCCCAACTGATAAACTTAAGGCAGTACATTAAATCAAACTACTGATGAAAAAAATGATAAGGCCAAATCAATCAGCTAGTTCTAGCAATTCAAAACATACAAACAAATTGTACTACAAGACCTTAATGCTACTTAGTGACCTTTCTAGAAGGGCACAAACATCATAGTCAAACATTATCCTATTTTCAATGCAGGCACTGTATCTTCCTCCTCCAAAACTTAAGTGTGGTAGTCACTCCAATTCAACATGCTCACAGCACAGCTGTGAGCATGTTAAACAGTACCACAAATATTGCGGTACTGTTGTAAAAACATCCAAATGGGTGGTCGCTGAAGGAACTTTGAATGATTAAAATGTGACTTTTACATGAGCCACATGCAGTGGGTGCCCATTTTCTGTTTGTGCAGCAGACTTTATCATCCTTTATCTTATATTTATAGTTTTCTCTTCTAACAATCTCACCTAACTTAAAAATGGGCTATAAACCCTAAGTGAAATGTAATATAGCTATCAGGAGAATGGGTTGCACAGCAACGCCATTAAAAATAAAATAGCTAAAAGTACAGACCGGGCCGCGGGGGCATTGACCCCCGAAACTCTCTCCAGGTAATTAAGGTTCATTGTATCGAGGGTTTTCTGCACCTTACTGTATGCATCAGTGTACTATATGTCTAAAACCTACACCAATTTATAGTAAAACAAGGTTTTCCTACATTGCTTTAAAAATGCATTGATATTTGCTGCCCATATTGAAGTAATTTGTCAAGAATGGCCTACATCTCAGTTCACTCCAACAAAATGCTTCCAGAGTACAGTACACAATAAGTCCAATTATAATATGTTCTGCAAAAAAATGATAACAAACAGTATTTGTTAACTGACCTGGACCCCGAAGAATGAGGCCCATGAGCGAGCGTTTCGCCTACAGATGTGCGAGGCTTACGTCGAATGTGCTGCACATCATTCACCGAGCATCCTGTCCGGGTCACATCTGCAGTAGCTGTTGCCTGCTGTAATGGAGCATGTTTCAATGATTTCTGGTAAGATATACACTGACTTTCTGGACAGTCTTGCTGCTTCTGTAACCGCTGTTGAGACAGGGACTGAGGCTGAACAACCTGCTGTAGCTGCTGTCCTCGTTTTGAATTCACATTTTGTTGCTGTTCATCAGTGCCATCACTTGGACGTGACAGGATCTTTAAGTCTATGATGTCACCAGCACTGGAATTATTTGTCTAGATAAGGCACTACCAATAATATAGGCAAACACAACATTTTAATAATGACAAAACATGCATTAAAACACTTTCTTTTAACACACCAGCCATCTCCCACCGAGGCAGGGTGACCTGAAAAAGAACAAATGCTTTCATAACTTTTTCTTCTTTCTACATTTAGTAATTTATACAGGTAAACTAGTTACTAACCCCTTATTAAAACACTGTTTATGGATGTAAAAATAAAAAAAAATGAAAAAATTCAAATCTATTTTATGTTTATAAGTAGAGCATTAAGACATTTTTTATCAAAGATCAGATGCTGAGTTTGTCCTCATTGTTGGCACTGTCGCATATAGAAAACACTTAAAATTAAGAGTACTCTCTTTCTCCATACCTATCAGCTGTTCACTACAGTTTCTGAAAGCTAATGTTCCTTTACTATTCAGCTATCACAATTTAGAACTTATACAGACTACAGTTTTCTTATACATTACAGTACATACTCCAAATAGTGCCTCTAATGAATTAAATGATGCTACATGCTTTTATTCTTTTTTGAAGTACCCTATCCATAATTAGTTACCGAGACATAGTACATATAGGCATTTCTACAATCATTCTATTTCTCTAACACAAATTAAAAAACTTACTTGATGGTAACTTCTGAAAGAGCAGCTGGGCGACCATTGTGAAGCACTCGAGTAATGGTGATAGTCTGCCTCTCAGCATTAACACTCACCACCCGTCCCTGGTACCATCCCAAGCCACCACCTACTTCCACCGACACCTCACACCCAACATATTCACTGCACATTTTGTGCTCCTGTTGAACGGAAAGCAATTTCACCTTGAAGCTGAAAATTAGAGAAAAAATTTTAGTTACAACATTACATACATAAAGATAATACATTATCTGTTCAGATGCTCCTTGCAAAAGAGTGTTTCACATACTGTTAAGACATCAAATAATCAACTGCATGATAAATAAAACACTAGCTGAATTATGATTATTCAATTTAATAGTTAGGAAAACAACAGTGTTCTGGGATTCAGGGAAACCGGTTATTTTCATATAGTCGGACTTGAGTCCTGGAAATGGGAAGTACAATGCCTGCACTTTAAAGGAGGGGTTTGGGATATTGGCATTTTGGAGGGATATGTTGTGTATCTTTATACGTATATGCTTCTGAACTGTTGTATTCTGAGCACCTCTGCAAAAGCAGTGATAATGTGTGAGTGTGGTGAAAGTGTTGAATGATGATGAAAGTATTTTCTTTTTGGGGATTTTCTTTCTTTTTTGGGTCACCCTGCCTCGGTGGGAGACGGCCGACTTGTTGAAAAAAAAAAAAAAAAAAATTCCTACATTTCCTCAAAAGGCTTGACATCCATTTGGGCCCCTATTTTGTATCACTAGACAGTGCTACCTTGATATCAGTCCAGAGATTAGTATTAGATAATAATGTTTATTAACCACTACTACTACTACTTAATTCTAATGGAATAAACTTAACCTTGCCAGTTCACCAAGCAGTAAGTAGGTGCCTGAGTGTTGGTAGATTATAGTGGCGTCACATCCCAAGGAATAACTTGTATAATAATAATAATAATATCTTTATTTACTACAAGTACATGTACAAGGTATACAGGCCTAGCTAACAACAATTACACACTACTATATAGAAAGCCCCTTGTTATGCTCCACATGTCAGGCAAATTAGGTCAGTGTCCCAGGATGCGACCCACACCAGTCGACTAACACCCAGGTACCCATTTTACTGATGGGGAACATAGACAACAGGTGGAAAGAAACATGCCCAATGTTTCTACTCTGGCTGGGAATCAAACCCAGGCCCTCGCCGTGTGAAGCGAGAGCGTTAGCCACCAGGCCACCAGAGCCTGGTGGGTTTAGAAAGCTCCTTCTCTATTCATATTCTGTACTTTTATCAAGATGGACTAAACACATCAACTCCAGACCGAGGGGCTAATTGCCTCAAATTCCTCATCATCTACTGTTCTTGATATTGGACAAATGAAATCAATGGTTGGCAAAACGTTTCCAGAATATTATTATTATTATTATAATCAAAAAGAAGCGCTAAGCCACAAGGGCTATACAGCGCTGCGTTTTCAGAATAAAGATACCCAAATGTCTCATTTAACAAGGAAGAGCTGTTGAGGTGGGTTAAATAGGTTTTCATTCAGGTCTCTTACATAATTTTAAACTTTTGAAAAGGCTTTATATATTGAATTTTGTAAAATGTAACACAGGATAAACAAATACTATCAATGTGACCAACAGAGATTTCACAAATAACCTGCAATTAGGAAGATAAGATAAGATAAGGTAAGATTTCATTCGGATTTTTAACCACAGAGGGTTAGCCACCCAGGATAACCCAAGAAAGTCAGTGCGTCATCGGGGACTGTCTAACTTATTTCCATTGGGGTCCTTAATCTTGTCCCCCAGGATGCGACCCACACCAGTCGACTAACACCCATGTACCTATTTGCTGCTAGGTGAACAGGACAACAGGTGTAAGGAAACGTGTCGAAATGTCTCCATCCGCCAGGAATCAAACCCGGGCCCTCCGTGTGTGAAACGGGAGCTTTAGCCACCAGGCCACCGGGCCACTTATAACAACATTACTCTTAGGCCTCGTCATGGACTAGACCACAGGGGCGTTGACCCCTGGAACACCCTCCTGATAGACATTTCCGTCCATGGAATGTGACCTATTTCCATTCAGGTTCCTCATTACACAGTAATTTTAAAGTTACTGACTTTCTTCAACTTACATTTTGAACAAAATAATATATCATCTGTTTTATTGGGAGAGGGAGGGGGGGGGAGTAAAAAAAATTAACCATTGTCTACCACAATAAATAAATATTTATTTACTTATTTATTATAAAGAATTGTCAACAATGCATAACATAATGCCCCTCAAAAGTGGTGCTGGGGAGGGATCCTGATCCAAGGAACTGGATCTGCTCTCCACTTCCTTGGACCGAACCATATTACCTCCCACTCCCCAAAGCGCTGTATGACCCCTATGGGTTTAACGCTTTCCCCTTAAATACAATAATAATAACACTGAACTACATTGGGGTCTGTGAGGGGTGAAATTCCCCGCATTTCCGTTAGAAACAAACAATATATATATAAACCGAAGCAAACAATATATGAAAAAGTTCAAAATAAGCTTCAAAAATACGTGACTTGACTCACCAGACGATTAATCAGTAATACACCGGAGAAAATGTCAAAAAGGATCAACTTAAGCAGCCATTAGTGTTCTTTATTTACGTTTGAGAAGCGTTCGTGAGCCATGAAGTTATGACGTCACGTTCGTGAGCCATGAAGTTATGACGTCACGTTCGTGAGCCATGGAGTTATGACGTCACGTTCGTGAGCCATGGAGTTATGACGTCACGTTCGTGAGCCATGGAGTTATGACGTCACGTTCGTGAGCCATGGAGTTATGACGTCACGTTCGTGAGCCATGGAGTTATGACGTCACGTTCGTGAGCCATGGAGTTATGACGTCACGTTCGTGAGCCATGGAGTTATGACGTCACGTTCGTGAGCCATGACGTTATGACGTCACGTTCGTGAGCCATGGAGTTATGACGTTACGTTCGTGAGCCATGAAGTTATGACGTCACGTTCGTGAGCCATGAAGTTATGACGTCACGTTCGTGAGCCATGAAGTTATGACGTCACGTTCGTGAGCCATGGAGTTATGACGTCACGTTCGTGAGCCATGAAGTTATGACGTCACGTCCGTGAGCCATGAAGTTATGACGTCACGTTCGTGAGCCATGAAGTTATGACGTCACGTTCGTGAGCCATGAAATTATGACGTCACGTTCGTGAACCATAGAGGTATGACGTCACGTTCGTGAGCCATGAAGTTATGACGTCACGTTCGTGAGCCATGAAGTTATGACGTCACGTTCGTGAGCCATGAAGTTATGACGTCACGTTCGTGAGCCATGAAGTTATGACGTCACGTTCGTGAGCCATGAAGTTATGACGTCACGTTCGTGAGCCATGAAGTTATGACGTCACGTTCGTGAGCCATGACATCACATCTTTATTTTATTTTTATCAAAAATTTATTTCCTTCAGTTATGGGAGACTAGTGACGGGCTCTTGATCCATGATTGTATATTGTACGCTACTAGCTCCTATATAATGGTAGAAGTAAATTATTTCAACAGCCTCAATGAGAAATAATATTTTTCTTCTAACAAACAGCTAGGATTTTTGGATCTGTGCTCCAGTTCCCCGAATTAACCCTGAATGCCTTCCACATCCCCCCCCCCCAGGCGCTGTATAATCCTTCGGGCTTAGCGCTTCCCCCTTGATTATAATAATAATAATAATAACAGCTAGGATTTAAGTAATAATATATCACAAGGACATCATTGGCAATAAGTCACTTTGTCTGACTTCTGGGTTACCCTGGGCAATTTACACATATATTACTAGGAATGATACTTGTACTTATATCTGTACCTAAATAAACTTAAGCATTTTTAAGTCAAATAAGTCATTTTGTTTGACTTTTTTTTGTTATCCTAGGTAATTTACATATATCACTATGCATGATAATTTGTGTAACTGTATTTATTTGTACCTTTACCCAAATAAACTTACTAAACCTCTTCTACATGGCTAAGTAAGTTTATTCAGGTACAGGTATACATAAATACATTTACATAAATTACCATACATAGTAGCATATGTAAGATTTCAGGTATATCTCGCTACTTCTACTTACACTTAGGTGACACTACACATACATGTACAAGCATATATATACACACCCCTCTGGGTTTTCTTCTATTTTCTTACTAGTTCTTGTTCTTGTTTATTTCCTCTTATCTCCATGGGGACGTGGAACAGAATTCTTCCTCCGTAAGCCATGCGTGTTGTAAGAGGCGACTAAAATGCCGGGAGCAAGGGGCTAGTAACCCCTTCTCCTGTATAAATTATTAAATTTGAAAAGAGAAACTTTTGTTTTTCTTTTTGGGTCACCCTGCCTCGGTGGGATACGGCCGGTTTGTTGAAAGAAGAAAGAAGTAGCATATGTGTGGATTACCTATGATAACCCAAAAAAAGCCAAAGTGACTTCAAAGTTTTTTCTCTATAAGGATTACAATGCTGAGTTTACAGAATTTGGTTATTGTATGGTTTACATGTAGTAAAATAATAATTACAGAGTGTACCACTAGAACACCTAGCATGGCTAGGCATTTCGGGCAGACTTCGATTAATTCTTAAATTTAAAATATTACAAATTATGAGGTAAGTTGGTATTATGACTAAGTGACTAAATACTAGTTTGTGAGTTTAGCATTGGGGTCCTTGACTTAATTGAAGATTGCTCCTCGGTGGAACTCAGGCATTACTTCACATTTAGCGTTACGTACAAGCCACCTACACCATAAAACATATAGTTATTTTTTGTGCACACTGCTACCATAGAAGATATTACTGAAAACCGAAGCAGTGTACAATTTTAAAAGTTTTAGGTTGGTATCCCAGACGTAAATATTTATCCCACGTATTGTGTCTGGCTGCCAGACTTAAGACGTGGCTATATCTTCCTTATTGGTAACTTAATACTGCCTTTTTTACTGCTGTAATTGCCTTGTTAGTGGGTATTAGAGCAGTGGGTGGCATAACACTCTATTGTCAAAGATATCTTTTGAGATAATATATCTATAGTGCATCTTTACTGTATCAAATAGGCTGTTGTCACGTAGTATTACAACGACTCCAGCGGAAATCAATTTTAATTGGGGGGGGGTTATTATAGGTAATTTACACATGTTATTCTGTAAGACCATTGTAATCATCCCAAAAATGTGTGATTGTAGGTAAATAAGGTTTATAGGCAGCCACGTGTCATTGTGTTGGCTACCATGTTCAGGGAGGCGTATCCCTGAAGGGGGAGGTAAAGGGCTCTTGTTCCGAAGAACTGGAGCTACTCCTTACCTTAGAACACACCCACGAATGTAATGTAATAATAATAAACAATGGGTGTATCTGAAATAATGTCTGACTTTTTTTTTTTTGGGGGGGGAGTTATCCCCCAAAATCCCCTCAAGGGAGGTTCCTTGATGCTGGTTAGCTCTTGATCTAGGGAATTGGATCTGTGCTCCAGTTCCCTGAATTAAGCCTGAATACCTTCCATCCTACCCAACAGGCGCTGTATAATCCTATGGATTTAGCGCTTCCCCATGATTATAATAATAATAATAATAATAATATCCCCCCACAAATTATTTCTTTATGCAGCATAAAAATATAGTTTACATGTAATAAAATATTGTTAATCACAAAAGAAACTCACTAGCATGCATGCGCATTATATACTTATGTGTACCTGAACCTAAATAAATCTATTTGCTTACTAAACATATTATACTTGACTGAGGGTTAGTAATCCTGGATAATTCAATAAGTTAGTGAGTGATTGAGAACTGTCTTATTTCCATTGGGGTTCTTTAATTTTCTTCTTTCCCAGGATGCAGCTCCATAACAGTCTGCTAGTACCCCGGTGCCTACTTCTAGGTGAACAAATAAGGGAACAGAGTTAAGAAATCACAGAATAGGTGGAAGTTTGATCCCATAGCAATTATGTTATTACGATTCCATGAGTCAGGGTTAAGGAAACATTCCTATCGTTTCCACTCATCTGGAGACCTAACCCAGGTCCTTCAGTTGTGAGCTGAGGCCACTACTAGTTGTATATAAATTTTCTCTTTGTATGTGAGCATAAATGCTACAAATTCTTTATATACTGTTCTTAGTACCTTTTACCATGTTCATCATGTTTACCATGGAAATAAGTTGCTTTGACTTTTTTTGGGTTATCCCTGGAAATTTGCATGTATGTTAAACTCTGTATGATACCTAAATAAACTTACTAACCAAATTGTTTGACTTTATCGAGTTAGCCTAGGATAAATCTAGTGACTATACTATATAGTACATGGATGCTCATAATATGTATGTGCCCTCGAAATTACGTGAAAAAGTAAACCTTGTAAAACCATTAGTAAATTGTTCAAGAAAGTATATATGTACCTGTTGAACCCTAGAGGACACTGCTCTCATAATTTTCTCCTTATTACTTCTCTATCACTGCTCTATTGTTTTTTCCTCTGAATTCCTACATTCCATCCAAAATGCCACTCGAAGTTTATCTGTGGTTTGTCCTAAACAATCCTCTGAGTCATGTTTCATTTTGTATGTTATCTATATTAAATTACTCATGTCCCACCATGAGGCTTTATGACTAAAAACAAATCTGCTTCATATATTCCTGAACTTACATAACTCTTAACACCTCTCTGCTACGTACTTAATGCTTTATCTGTACAAGTCATTGTCAGTCTTCTTCCGTATTTGTTATATTAGTTGTTACTTGTAGTTTATTCCATTTTCCATATCCATATTCTCCATGTGCCAAATCATGGTTGCACTCCATCCTTCTATTAACTATTACTCATGCAGAAACAGCCATATTAACAAATTAATTGTTCAAATAATTACAGTAATATGACTGACCATATGTTGCATTTGGTCATAATATTACAAGTAACATTATTTTTTGAGCTTATATATATATGTGGTGAATTTATTGATCACTTAATTCTAAAGTTAATCTCATCTCAGTTGTTGTTCACAGATAAGGAGGTAGCCCATTGTTATAGTACTGATATGGTTGATGTTGAAAGTGAAGGGGAGTGGAGCCCTTGGGGAGGAGAGGACGAGGTGGAACAACCACTGATTGCTGCAGAGGTACAGCAGCCACAGGTGAGTGTAACCTTAACAAGACATTCTCTTCTGTGTTGTGTCATAAGTGTCATGAACACTGATCAGTGAACAGGTACTGTATATGAATCCTGCATGGATAGTAAAAATTAAACATGGATGGATCTTTATACAGATTGTTTCTACTTGTTGTTCTTTCTGGTTCATTCTCTTTTAGTTGACATGTGTATTCTTGCCTTGAAACATGTTCCATATTAATTCTGATAGATGGGATACATATATACAGCCTCTCCTCACTTAACGATGAAGTTCCATTCCTAAGACCATGTCGGTAAACGAAGTCGTTGCTAAGTGAAGAGCATACTATAATGGCAGTGGGTATGTGTCAACCATCTTTGATATTATTTTAATGTCACCTTTGCACCATTTATAACATTTCTGGTATATTTTTAAATGTTTATACAGTAGTGTACTGTATATTGTAATAAACAGAATAGAAGAAATCGCTCTTATATACATTATATAGGTATGCATACTGGTCAGAGAGCCTGTCATAAGTCCGAGTCTTCAGTAAACGAGTACGTTGGTAAGTGAGGAGAGGCTGTATATGTGTATGTGTATATATACAGTGGAACCTCTGGTCACAAGCGCTTCCAAACATGAACAAATCAGTTCACGACCAAAAAAAATCACCAAATTTTTCCATCTGGTTGTGAACACATAATCGGGTGCCAAATAAACACAGCCGTGCCAATTTTCACATTCCGGTCCATTTTTTTTTTTTGCACGCTCCAATTTCCCCCACTTCCTGTAATTACGACCGTGATAAAGTAATGTTTTATCAGCAGGTAGTGCCGAAACAGCTTCTCACAGTGCCAGTACTGGGCTAGGGTTTGCCATATATGATTTTTGGTAAATATTTTTTTTTCTCAGTTGCTTGTTGGGCTATGTATGATGGAAAGATGCTTCTTAACGTACACCAGAAATGAAAAAAATCGGACAATAAATAATGAAGTTCACTGCTCCGCCATTAGACGCCCCTTAAAACTCTTAGGACTAGTGTACTGTTAGTTTTCTCTGTTGTTCATGATTTTCTCAGTGTTATTCAAGATTTTTACATTTAGTTTACACTGTGCATTCTGTGGTTTAACTAACTATTTTTGCACTTAAAAATCTTAAAAAAAAAAAAAAATTTACTTACAGTTTGTAGGGGTCTTGAATGGATTAATCGTATGTACATACAATCCAATGGGGAAATTAGATTTGGGTCACAACCAAATCGGGTGGTGACCAGAGTTCTGGAGAGAATTATGGTCATGATATTTTCCATCTACCATATATATATATATATATATATATATATATATATATATATAATATATATATATATATATATAATATATATATATATATATATATATTTTATTTTATTTTTTTTATTATCACACTGGCCGATTCTCACCAAGGCAGGGTGGCCTGAAAAAGAAAAACTTTCACCATCATTCACTCCATCACTGTCTTGCCAGAAGGGTGCTTTACACTACAGTTTTTAAAACTGCAACATTAACACCCCTCCTTCAGAGTGCAGGCACTGTACTTCCCATCTCCAGGACTCAAGTCCGGCCTGCCGGTTTCCCTGAACCCCTTCATAAATGTTACTTTGCTCACACTCCAACAGCACGTCATGTATTAAAAACCATTTGTCTCCATTCACTCCTATCAAACACGCTCACGCATACCTGCTGGAAGTCCAAGCCCCTCGCACACAAAACCTTTACCCCCTCTCTCCAACCTTTCCTAGGCCGACCCCTACCCCGCCTTCCTTCCACTACAGACTGATACACTCTTGAAGTCATTCTGTTTCGCTCCATTCTCTCTACATGTCCGAACCACCTCAACAACCCTTCCTCAGCCCTCTGGACAACAGTTTTGGTAATCCCGCACCTCCTCCTAACTTCCAAACTATGAATTCTCTGCATTATATTCACACCACACATTGCCCTCAGACATGACATCTCCACTGCCTCCAGCCTTCTCCTCGCTGCAACATTCATCACCCATGCTTCACACCCATATAAGAGCGTTGGTAAAACTATACTCTCATACATTCCCCTCTTTGCCTCCAAGGACAAAGTTCTTTGTCTCCACAGACTCCTAAGTGCACCACTCACTCTTTTTCCCTTATCAATTCTATGATTCACCTCATCTTTCATAGACCCATCCGCTGACACGTCCACTCCCAAATATCTGAATACATTCACCTCCTCCATACTCTCTCCCTCCAATCTGATATTCAATCTTTTATCACCTAATCTTTTTGTTATCCTCATAACCTTACTCTTTCCTGTATTCACCTTTAATTTTCTTCTTTTGCACACCCTACCAAATTCATCCACCAATCTCTGCAACTTCTCTTCAGAATCTCCCAAGAGCACAGTGTCATCAGCAAAGAGCAGCTGTGACAACTCCCACATTGTGTGTGATTCTTTATCTTTTAACTCCACGCCTCTTGTCAAGACCCTCGCATTTACTTCTCTTACAACCCCATCTATAAATATATTAAACAACCACGGTGACATCACACATCCTTGTCTAAGGCCTACTTTTACTGGGAAATAATTTCCCTCTTTCCTACATACTCTAACTTGAGCCTCACTATCCTCGTAAAAACTCTTCACTGCTTTCAGTAACCTACCTCCTACACCATGCACTTGCAACATCTGCCACATTGCCCCCCTATCCACCCTGTCATACGCCTTTTCCAAATCCATAAATGCCACAAAGACTCTTTAACCTTATCTAAATACTGTTCACTTATATGTTTCACTGTAAACACCTGGTCCACACACCCCCTACCTTTCCTAAAGCCTCCTTGTTCATCTGCTATCCTATTCTCCGTCTTACTCTTAATTCTTTCAATAATAACTCTACCATACACTTTACCAGGTATACTCAGCAGACTTATCCCCCTATAATTTTTGCACTCTCTTTTATCCCCTTTGCCTTTATACAAAGGAACTATGCATGCTCTCTGCCAATCCCTAGGTACCTTACCCTCTTCCATACATTTATTAAATAATTGCACCAACCACTCCAAAACTATATCCCCACCTGCTTTTAACATTTCTATCTTTATCCCATCAATCCCGCTGCCTTACCCCCTTTCATTTTACCTACTGCCTCACGAACTTCCCCCACACTCACAACTGGCTCTTCCTCACTCCTACAAGATGTTATTCCTCCTTGTCCTATACACGAAATCACAGCTTCCCTATCTTCATCAACATTTAACAATTCCTCAAAATATTCCCTCCATCTTCCCAATACCTCTAACTCTCCATTTAATAACTCTCCTCTCCATTTTTTAACTGACAAATCCATTTGTTCTCTAGGCTTTCTTAACTTGTTAATCTCACTCCAAAACTTTTTGTTATTTTCAACAAAATTTGTTGATAACATCTCACCCACTCTCTCATTTGCTCTCTTTTTACATTGCTTCACCACTCTCTTAACCTCTCTCTTTTTCTCCATATACTCTTCCCTCCTTGCATCACTTCTACTTTGTAAAAACTTCTCATATGCTAACTTTTTCTCCCTTACTACTCTCTTTACATCATCATTCCACCAATCGCTCCTCTTCCCTCCCACACCCACTTTCCTGTAACCACAAACTACTGCTGAACACTCTAACACTACATTTTTAAACCTACCCCATACCTCTTCGACCCCATTGCCTATGCTCTCATTAGCCCATCTATCCTCCAATAGCTGTTTATATCTTACCCTAACTGCCTCCTCTTTTAGTTTATAAACCTTCACCTCTCTCTTCCCTGATGCTTCTATTCTCCTTGTATCCCATCTACCTTTTACTCTCAGTGTAGCTACAACTAGAAAGTGATCTGATATATCTGTGGCCCCTCTATAAACATGTACATCCTGAAGTCTACTCAACAGTCTTTTATCTACCAATACATAATCCAACAAACTACTGTCATTTCGCTTACATTATATCTTGTATACTTATTTATCCTCTTTTTCTTAAAATATGTATTACCTATAACTAAACCCCTTTCTATACAAAGTTCAATCAAAGGGCTCCCATTATCATTTACACCTGGCACCCTAAACTTACCTACCACACCCTCTCTAAAAGTTTCTCCTACTTTAGCATTCAGGTCCCCTACCACAATTACTCTCTCACTTGGTTCAAAGGCTCCTATACATTCACTTAACATCTCCCAAAATCTTCTCTCTCCTCCTCTGCATATATATATATGCATATATATCTGCATATATATATATATATATATATAATATATATATATATATATATATATATATATATATATATATATATATATATATATATATATATATATATGAATATATATATATATATATATATATATATATATATATAGAATGATGATGTAAAGAGAGTAGTAAGGGAGAAAAAGTTAGCATATGAGAAGTTTTTACAAAGTAGAAGTGATGCAAGGAGGAAGAGTATATGGAGAAAAAGAGAGAGGTTAAGAGAGTGGTGAAGCAATGTAAAAAGAGAGCAAATGAGAGAGTGGGTGAGATGTTATCAACAAATTTTGTTGAAAATAAGAAAAAGTTTTGGAGTGAGATTAACAAGTTAAGAAAGCCTAGAGAACAAATGGATTTGTCAGTTAAAAATAGGAGAGGAGAGTTATTAAATGGAGAGTTAGAGGTATTGGGAAGATGGAAGGAATATTTTGAGGAATTGTTAAATGTTGATGAAGATAGGGAAGCTGTGATTTCGTGTATAGGGCAAGGAGGAATAACATCTTGTAGGAGTGAGGAAGAGCCAGTTGTGAGTGTGGGGGAAATTCGTGAGGCAGTAGGTAAAATGAAAGGGGTAAGGCAGCCGGATTGATGGGATAAAGATAGAAATGTTAAAAGCAGGTGGGGATATAGTTTTGGAGTGGTTGGTTGCAATTGTTTAATAAATGTATGGAAGAGGGTAAGGTACCTAGGGATTGGCAGAGAGCATGCATAGTTCCTTTGTATAAAGGCAA